CTGGCCTTCAGGCAAACAGACAGAATATTGTATACATAATAAATAAATAAATAAATATTTTAAAAAATAAAATAAAAATGTAATGTAGGCCGGGCGGTGGTGGCGCACGCCTTTAATCCCAGCACTTGGGAGGCAGAGGCAGGAGGATCTCTGTGAGTTCGAGACCAGCCTGGTCTACAGAGCTAGTTCCAGGACAGGCTCCAAAGCCACAGAGAAACCCTGTCTCGAAAAACAAAAAAAAAAAGTAATGTATAATTAAGAAATATAAGGGTTTTTTGGTTTTTTTTTTTTTTTTTGGTTTTTTTCGAGACAAGGTTTCTCTGTAGCTTTGGTGCCTGTCCTGGAACTAGCTCTTGTAGACCAGGCTGGTCTCGAACTCACAGAGATCTGCCTGCCTCTGCCCCCTGAGTGTTGGGATTAAAGGCGTGTGCCACCACTGCCCAGCTCAAGAAATATAAGTTAATAGATACTTATATATAATAGTCAAGCTTATAGTCATGTTAGTTAGATTTTCTAGGTGTATAGAGATATATTTCCATTAGATAGGTATTCTTCAAATCTTTTAGAGACCTTCAGAATATGGCATTTAAAATGTTTTAATAACTTAGGACTTTTCATGACAATGAGACATGTCTCCTCCTGGCAGCACAAACTACTTCAAGAGGAAGATGGGCATCAAAGAGGCTCCTTATGGAGTTGGTTAGCCATTTGGGCAAAAAAACTGCTCTTGCATGGACTGCTGAACTGGACATGTAGGACCCACTGAGTAATGGCTGTTGGTCTTGTCTAAAGGTGAGATGACGGGAGGCAGAGGCAGGCGGATCTCTGTGAGTTCGAGGCCAGCCTGGTCTACAAGAGCTAGTTCCAGGACAGGAACCAAAAGCTAGGGAGAAACCCTGTCTCGAAAAATCGAAAAAAAAAAAAAAAAAAAGGTGAGATGATCCTTCAGGGTTCTTGCTACACAAAAGAGTCTGCTAGACATTCTGCAGGACACAGAAGAAAATGTCTGAAAACTGCCAATATAGGTGGAACTGTCTTCGAAATTTCCTGCTTCATGGAAAAGTCTGCTGGATATTATGGTCCTGTAGGCTGAAGATGGATGTCCCAATGATACAAAAGAACTTTGGGTGACTGTCCAGGCAATGAGATTTCTCTGTCAATTCTAGAGCTTTGGAAGTTGCTTACAATATACCTTCTGTTTACTTAGGTAATGTTATATCCTTCTGGAGTCTTTGATGGGGTTGAAGAATTTATAGTTACAGTTAAGTTTTACTTAGTTATGATAAAAGATAAAGTAAATAGAAATATTGTAACTGTAATTCTTGCTTGATAACTGTTTTGTTATATGTAATTTTACTATGTTAAAGTTAAAAGCTTCCTTTTTATTTAAGCAGAAAAGGGGAGGTGATGTGGCAGTCCCCTCTGTGTGCTGTGATTCCATTAATAAATAAAGAAACTGTCTTGGCCTCTTGATAGGACAGAACTTAGGTAGGTGGGGAAGACAGAAATGAATGCTGGGAGAAAGAAGGACGGAGTTAGAGAGCTGCCATGGATCTGCTGCCAGAGATAGAAATGCTGAAACATTGCTGACAGGCCACAACCTCGTGGTGATACACAGATTAATAGAAATGGGTTAAATTAAGAAGCTAGAGGTAATGGGCCAAATATTGATTTAATTAATACAGTTTCTGAATGGTTATTTCAGGGCTAAACTAGCCAGGCAGCTGGGAACAAAGAAGCGGGCCCTCCTCCTACATCCTGTAACTTGATCTGTAGACCAGATCTCTCAAGTTAGGTCTCTCAGACTCAGAGATCTGCCAGCTTCTCCTTTCTGAGTACTGGGATTAAAGGCACTCACCACCATGCGTAGATTTATGCTGCTCTTTATTTTCCCAAATTGGAAGTTGAGCTGCATGGGGTCTTGTCCTGAGATCACTACTCCCTATATTCCATTTCTTAATCTGTTTATCTCTTTGAACACAGGGCATAGTTGCATTCTACTCCCTTTGCCCCTTTTCTCCTTAATCTGTACATTTTTTTTCTTGTTTTTTTTTTTTTCGAGACCAGGTTTCTCTGTAGCTTTGGTGCCCATCCCAGAACTAGGTCTTGTAGACCAGGCTGGCCTCGAACTCCCAGAGATCCACCTGCCTCTGCCTCCCGAGTGCTGGGATTAAAGGCGTGGGCTACCACCGCCCGGCAATCTGTACATTTTGTGCTTTTACTTGTTCAGTTCACTCCTTTTCACTATAGATCTTCATTAGATTTATAACGAATAAATAACTGGGCAGTGGTGGCACAGGCCTTTAATCCCAGCACTCAGAAGTAAGAGGCAGGCAGATCTCTGTGAGTTCAAGGCCAGCATGGTCTATAGAGCAAGTTCCAGGACAGGCACCAAAGCTACACAGAGAAACCGTGTCTCGAAACTACCCCCCCCCAAAAAAAAAAACAAAAAACAAAATGTGTATAGTTAACACCAACAACCACATGACAGAGACTATACTAGGATGTTTTGAGAGTTCCTCTGCCAATGGAATTAATCCAAAACTCTTTAGCCACAAGCAGACACTTTGGACAGCGCAAAAAGCAACCAATTCACCAAACTATCACAAGAATGATCTTTAGACAACATTCTAAAAGTCTTCTCCTCTAGAACCTCTTGACCCAGGCTCTCACAGTTCAAATCCCCCTTAACACCATTGTCTTCGGTGGTCCTACTAGTATGGATCATTAAGCAGCACTTAAAAGCATTCCACTGCTTTCTTAACACAAACTCTCAAAGTTCAAATTTTTCCAAACAAAAACATGGTCAGGCCTATCATAGCAATACCCCACGCCTGGTACCAATTTCTGTCTTAGTTAGGCTTTTTCTTCCTTCCTTCCTTCCTTCCTTCCTTCCTTCCTTCCTTCTTTCCTTCCTTCCTTCCTTTCTCCCTTCCTTTCTTTCTGTCTTTTTTGATTTTTCAAGGCAGGGTTTCTCTGTAGCTTTGAGCCTGTTCTGGAACTAGCTCTTGTAGACCAGGCTGGCCTCAAATTCACAAAGATCTGCCTGCCTCTGCCTCCCGAGTGCTGGGATTAAAGGCGTGCGCCACCACGGCCCAGCATATGGTTAGGCTTTCTACTGCTGTAAAGAAACACTATGACCAATGACCATGGCTACTTTTATAAAGGAAAACATTTAATTGGGACTGGCTTGCAGTTTTAGGAGCTAGTGGATTATCTTCATGGTAGCATGCAGGCAGACATGATAATGAAGAACAGCTGAGAGTTCTACTTTTTTTCTTTTTTAGGATTTATGTATTTGACTGGAGAGATGGCTTAGAGGTTAAGAGCAATGGTTGCTCTTCCAGATGCCCTAAGTCCAATTCCCAACAGCCACATGGTGGCTCACAACCATTTATAATGAGAACTGGTGCCCTCTTCTGGCAAGCAGGCATACGTGCAGGCAGAACACTGTTTTTAAAAAGATTTATGTATTTATTTTATATATATGAATGCTCTATTGACTTCATGCCAAAAGAGGGCATCAAATCCCACTATAGATGGTTGTGAGCTACCATATGGTTGCTGGGAATTGAACTCAGGATCTCTAGAAGAGCACCAAGTGCTCTTAACCACTGAGTCATCTCTCCAGCCCCTGAGTTGTACGTCTTGATCCACAGGAAGCAGAAGTAGCTGTGTGCCATAATGGGCATAGTTTAAGCATATATGACACCTCAACACCCACTCCACACAGTGACGAACTTCCTCCAACAAGGCTATACCTGTAAGGCCATATTATACAGGCCCATAGTCTACACTATATGGCGGCCAGACTTTCAGGCCACAGTTTGCACCTGTCACACAGAAGGTGGTCACCAGCCTTTCCAGACAAACTGACACCATCCTAAACAAAGGGTCAGGATATGCTAATGTCGCTATCTCCTTTGTAATTTGGGAGGTCGCCTGGGAAAGAGGTGTTAATTCAGTCTATGTGACAGAGCAGGCATAGATGGGAAGACGTGACAAAATGGGCATAGGAAGGTGTGGACGTGACCACAGTCATTCTCCCGGCTACCTAGGAAACAGAATGCTAATGAGCTTCCCCCTCAGTTTACGTTTTGGTATAAAAGCTGTTTGTTTGGAGAATAAACGCAGATGATTTTCAGGTTGAGAATTAAGGACTTCATGAGGGATCCCTGAAAACTCCCTCCCGATAAGGTCATATGAATTATGTCTTTATTCTCATGCCTTCCTGCTGGTCCGAGAGATAATTTATGGTCCAAGCTGGTCTTGGACCATGACAGATACCCTCTCCTACTAGGTCATATCTCCTAAGAGTGCCATTCCCTATGAGTCAAGTGCTCAAACACGTGAGTCTACGGGGGCCATACCTACTCAAACCACCACATGGGTACTTTTTGGGTTTTTTTAAAAGATTTATTTTATTCATATGAGTGCTTTGCCTATACATATGTCCATGTGCCACATGCATGCCTGGTGCTCAAGAAAGTGTAAGTCTCCACGTTTGTGCCGAGAATCCAATCAAGGTCTTTCAAAAGAACAAATATGCTGGGCGGTGGTAGCACATGCCTTTAATCCCAGCACTTGGGAGACAGAGGCAGGTGGATCTTTGTGAGATTGAGGCCAGCCTGGTCTACAAGAGATAGTTCCAGGACAGGCTCCACAGCTACAGAGAAGCCCCTGTCTAGGAAAACAAACAAACAAATAACTGCTCTTAACCATGGAACCAACTCCAACCCAGAAATGGGTTCTTTTAAGAGCTCCAGTAGGAAGCCTAACGAGATGGCTCAGGGATTAGGAGTACTGGCTGCTCCTTCAGAGGCCCTGGGTTTGACTCCCAGCACCTGCATGATGGCTAACAACTGTCTTTATCTCCAGTTCCAGGGAATCCAATGCCATCTTCTTGCCTCCACTATCACCAGGCACTAGATATACATGTAGGCAAAATATCCATACATATTAAATAAAACACAAAAAAGAAAGAAAAGAAGAAAGAAAGAGAACCAGCCAATTAATCTGCTTATCTCGGCGTGTTTCTGCAGAAATTTAGAAAACGCAGGCACTAGTGATGCCGTGTTGCAAGCCTTAAGGACAGCTGAAGTCTTTAATATCCCTGAAAATGCCCTGGAAGCACTTAAGACTGAATTATTTATAGTTAGAAGAACTTAATATTGAATAAATAATTTGCATCTTTTTTTTTTTTTTTTTTTTTGGTTTTTCGAAACAGGGTTTCTCTGTGGCTTTGGTTCCTGTCCTGGAACTAGCTCTTGTAGACCAGGCTGGTCTCGAACTCACAGAGATCCGCCTGCCTCTGCCTCCCAAGTGCTGGGATTAAAGGCGTGTGCCACCACCGCCCGGCTGAATCTAATTTTTTAAGAAAAAATGTGCGATAGGTAAGTGTGATGATACAAACTGCGGGATTTTGAATGTAACTGACCTCCATGATCTCACAGGGAGTGGCACTGGCAGGAGGTGTGGCTTTGTCGGGGTGAGTATAGATTTGGAGGAAGTGTGTCACTGTGGGGAGAACTTTGAGGTCAAGCCTTGCTCAGTGTGGCTTTTTGTTTCGTTTTGCGAGACAGGGTTTCTCTGTAACTAGCTTTGTAAACCAGGCTGGCCTCGAACTCACAGAGATCCGCCTTCCTCTGCCTGTGAGTGCTGAGATTAAAGTCGTGTGCCACCACTGCCAAGCTTCAGTGCAACTTTCAATCAACCTCCTGTTGCCTGCAAGATGTAGGACTCCTAGCTACCTCTCCAGTACCACGTCTGCCTGTATGTCACCATGCTCCCCACCATGATGATGATGATGAACTGAACCTCTGAACTGTAAGCTAGACTCTCCAATGAAATATTTTCTTTAAAGATGTGGTCTGGGGGCTGGAGAGATGACTCAGTGGTTAAGAGCATTGCCTGCTCTTCCAAAGGTCCTGAGTTCAATTCCCGGCAACCACATGGTGGCTCACAACCATCTGTAAAGAGGTCTGGCGCCCTCTTCTGGCCTTCAGGCATACAGACAGAATATTGCATACATAATAAATAAAAAATTTAAAAAAAAAATGTGGTCTGGGCTGGAGAAATGGCTCAGAGGTTAAGAGCACTGGCTGATCCTCCAGAGGTTCTGAGTTCAATTCCCAGCAACCACATGGTGGCTCACAACCATCTATGAGATCTGGTGCCCTCTTCTGGCGGGCAGGCATACATGCAGGCAGAACATTGTATACATAATAAATGAATAAATTTAAAAAAAAAAAAAAGAAAGCTGGAGAGACCTTAGACCTTGCTTTTTTGTTTCGTTTTGTTTTTCAAACAGGGTCTCACTGTGTAGTTCTGGCTCTCCTGAAACTCAGAGATTCAGATCTGCCTACCTCATCCTCCCAGGGGCTGGGATTAAAATCACTTACCAACCATGCGCACACACACACACATCACAGAAGAATAAATCAGAGAGGTATGGAGTAGAGAACACCTACACTTTTCTCTGTCCTCCATGCTGGCACACAGGTGCCTATACCCGCACACAAGCACATCTAACACACACATTCAGGAATTGAGGGGAGGAAGCAGTTTCTAAAAACAGAATAATCTGGGCCAGTGAGATGGCTTAGCAGGGAAAGGCCTTGCAAGCCTGACAACCTGAGTTTCATCCTCTGACCTTGCATGAACGTGGAAGGAGAGAACCAAGCCTACAGAGTTGTCCTCTGATTACCACGTGCACTCTAAGACACATTCACCCCACCCATGGTGCATATATGAACGATGAAATGATTTAAGTCAGTCTTGTTATTTGAGTGCATGTGTGTCTGTATATGTGTGTGGGTATGTGCATGCCATGAGAGACCAGAGGAGTCTGAGCTCCATGGAACTGGAATCACAGTGATGAGCTGCCCAGCGCGGATTCTGGGGATTGAACACTGGTCCCTTTGCAACAGCAGCATGTGCTGTTAGCTACTGAGCCATCTCTCTGGCCCATAATGAACAATTTTTAAATTCTTTTTCATCAATATGACACAATATATATATTTCATATTTTCTTCTCAGAAAATGATCTTTTTTATGAAATAATAGACAGTATTTGGGTTTGGATGAATACGTTTGTTTTAGTAAAGCTAAGATTCAGAAATTTTTCTTATCTGTTTTGGAAATAGTCTCACAGTTACAGCCCAGGCTGGCCCTGAACTCTCAGCAGTTCTCCTGCCTTAGCCTCCTGAACACAATAGCCACAGGCATGAGCCAGAATGGCCACCAAGATTCAGAGATCTTATGCTGGTGAAGTAGGATAGGGCTAAAAAGATCAATTATTAGACACTGATTATTGATTTATTTAGTGATTTACTTAAAGCCCTGCTTGTACTGCCTGTTTGCTAACTTCATTTGCTCCCTGGCACAGGATGGCCTGGAGACACAGCTGAAGCTATGGGCTGTTGCTCTTAACAAGCTGTTGAGAGCCGTGCACGCTTCTGTGAAATGTTTCTTGCTAGCCCGCCTCACCTTGTGGTTTTATTTATTTATTTATTTTTAAAGATTTGTTTATTGTGTATTCAGTGTTCTGCCTGCATGTATGCCTGCAGGCCAGAAGAGGGCACCAGATCTCATTACAGGTGGCTGTGAGCCACCATGTGGTTGCTGAGAATTGAACCCAGGACCTCTGAAAGAGCAGCCAGTGCTCTTAACCTCTGAGCCATCTCTCCAGCCCCACCTTGTGGTTTTATAGTATAAAATGAGAGTGGAAACTGGACATGGGACCGAGGCCTTTCTGGAGCTATCCTGGCTTTCATTGACCAATGACATCCACTCTCTTTGGTACTTATTTCAGAAAGATTCCTGTGACACTGAAGAAACTGTTTCTGTTTATGAAACCTCAACATCTCAGCAGCCCTGAGATAATCCTAATTCATGCTAACGAGCTGGGGCACTGTGGAAGGAGAGGGCTATAGAGATAATATCTGCCCTCCCTTCTTGCTTCCAGGTCACCCAGAATATGGCTGGTGGCCTTGAATATCCCCTGGTTCCCTTACAGGGGCAGTCATGAGAGAGCTGTCTTCCTTTCCTTTTGCTCCACAGGGCAGGTTCAGGAGCTTGGGGTCATCCCTAAAATCAAAGCTCTACAATGCTTCTCCCTCTTGTTACTTGGTTCAAGTCAAACTAGAGAGGCCCTTCTATTCCTCCTCCCTCCTCTTCCCTCTTCCCTTCTTCCTTTGCCCCCCCTTCTTCCTCCCCCCTTCTTCCCTCTCCTCCCTCCTTTCCTTTCTTTTGATACTGGAGGTTTTGTGCATACAAGCAGAGGACATTATGACCGAACTACTTCTTAGCTCTGGATCGGAATCTTTTGTTGTTGAGCTTTTGAAATCTGTACCCGAAGCATGGGGAGTCAGACTGAAGAACACATTGTCTGGGAAAGCAGATACTGCGCTAGAGAGGGGGTCTACGGGTTCCCAGTCAGCCTGGAAGTAGGGCAGATTCATGTTTTTCAGCAACCAGATCCTACCAATGTAGCAATTCTTTGTCCAAAAGATCCTCAGATAGAGCGAAGAGTTTCACAAACATACCAAGTGTGGGTGCACACCTATACCCATGTAATGGGGGTACGAGCCCAGGGTCATCTGTCTAGGGGTCTGGCTCTTTCCCTGGGGTCATCTATCTAGGGGTTTGGGTTCTTTCACTAAGGTCAGCTGTCTAGGGGTTTGGGCTCTCTCCCAGAGGTGAACAGACAATTGGACACTCCAGAACAGACGAAGTAGGGACTCAGAGAAAGCAAAACTTGGTGACTGAAGCAAGCAGTGAGCACTCCGGGGGGGGGGGGTGGTCTCTGAAGCATGGGGTCCCAGGGCTGCACCTCCTATAAAGCCCTGGGTCCTCCCCTCTTCTGGGTCTCCCTACTTCATTCTCATTTCCCCTTTGCCTCTCTCCTCTCCTGTCCCTTCATTTCCACCACCTGGACAGAGGCGTCATGGATAGATAACTGAGTTCCAACTGTTATATGAGGATGCTCTGTGCTCCTCTGCCCTCTGCCCTAACTCCTCACAGTCTCCTCTTCTGGGATAAGTTTAGATTTCTGTCTGAAGGGAAAAGGGCAGTGACTGATCTGTAGTTTTCAGGCTGTGAGTGTTGGAATTAGGGGCCCTGAGAAAGACATTCTCTTAGAGGTTGGAAGATGGCATGGCCCAGGAGCATGGTTATAGTAGGTTCCATGTGGACCACCATTTAGTGATTTCATGGCTTCAAAGTGCTGACACCCGATACTGCAGTTGAGGAGGTAAGGACAGACAACGAGGGCAATTGAAGACTAGAATCAGAAGTCCTAGGAGAAGCTGGGCAGTGGTGGCACACACCATTAATCCCAGCACTCAGGAGGCAGAGGCAGGCGGATCTCTACGAGACCCCTCTGTTATGGCTTAAAATAAAATGCTGCAGGTTCCCCAAAGGGTGCAGCGGCAGAAACGCTGCAGGTCCCCGAGTGGCAGCAGTGGGCAGCAGGCCATGAGACCACAGTGGGCCACGAAGGCAGCCGGGTCCCAGGCAGGGAGCCGCGTGGCGGGTGAGTGACCTGGGCAGGGCAGCCCTGGCGGGTGAGAGACAGATGGATAGGCATGCCATGCAGAGTGAAGGAGAAAGGGAGTAAGGGGGAAGAGGAAAGAGAGAGAGAGAGAGAGAGAGAGAGAGAGAGAGAGAGAGAGACACGGGGCAAGGGGAGAGGAGCCACAGCAGCAGCTACCTCTGGGAGAGACAGGAAAGGAGGGGAGACTCAGGCTACAGGCAGGAAAGAAGATCCAGAAGATCTGCCTGCCTTGCGGGGAAATTGGCAGGGCTTGTCTCTGAAAGAGACAGAACAGACCATTACACCCTCCTGGTCTAAGCATAAGTTTTATAGTATTTGATAGAAAAACTTGTATTTGATATTTCTTAGGGTTCCCACTATGATAAGTGTAACAGGCTCTTTTTTTTTTTTTCTGTAAGACAGGGTTTTTCTGTGTAGCCCTGGGTGTTGGGTGCCTGAGTGTCATGGCCAAGACTAGCCTCAAACTTGAACTCAGAGATGCACCTGCCTCTAGTGCTAGGATTATTTGCATTTGCAGCCGCTGCCACCACCCAGCATCTGGCTCTTTCTTCGATATCTTTTTTTTTTTTTTTTTG